AACTTGCATGGCGGCAACGGTTTGGTTCGGGGATATATTGGGCTGGCGGTTCGTGTCTACGAGCGAAATGAAACGGTCGCCTTAGCAGTAGACTGCCGGCTGGGGAAAGGGTGAGTGTGTGTGTGAGAGAGAGAGAGAGAGAGAGAGGGGACGGGGAGAGCAGTGACAGTATTTTATATTTCTTTCGGACCCGTTTTCCTGTAACCAGCAATCTCGACTACACCACACCACGCCACTGCTTTCTGCGCCGTAGTCGCCGGAGACCGAAACTTTATTCTGTTTGCAGTTCGCCCAGCACGGCACGGCTCGCTCGCCTACGTTTTCTTTCGTCTCCTCTCACTCTCTCTCTCTCTCTCTTTCCTCTCGCGGAAGTTTTCCATGAAGATTGCGGTGTACCGGGCCGAAACTTAAAATGGATGCCCGTGAGTGCGCCGCGATACGGCATTGGAGATTTTCCTCTATTTTTTCCTTCTTGCGCTCTCGCTCGCTCGCTCCCTTCTTCGTGCGTGGCCATTCCCTGCTTCCACAGCTTCACCACTCGCACTCACCCCTCAGACTCACCCTTACCTGCCCCTGGCCGCTTTGCCGAAATTTGTTCTCGCAAATTACTTTTCCGCGCGGCGCTTTCTGTCTCGTAAATTTACCGCGTATCGAGCGGACGTCGACCGTGTTCCGTTCACTTCTTCTCCATGTGCCTCGCTCTCGCGCGAAGGAGATTATGTTGCCTCTTAATCAATGACACAATCTGTCTCCTGCTTCGAATATATTAAGGTGAAGATACTAATTCCCAGACATGCGCCTATACTCCTTCTGGACATTCTTATTATTTTGTCTTCAAATATGAATATTTTAAGCTTTCAACATAAAATATATACATATGTATTTTGCATATATATATATATATATATATATATATATATATGTATTTTATATTAAAAGTTTAATTATTCGTATTTAAAGACTAAGACAATAAAAATTTCCAGATTAGTTATGCGTCTGAGAATTGGCTTTTTAGTTGCGTTGAATCATCTGTGATTATATTGCTGTGAAAATATTTTTAGCATGTTAACTTTTTAAATGTAAGTTTGAAAGTTTGGTAAAATGTGAAATTCCTTGCTTAATGCACTTAAATTATTGTGTACTTTCTTAATTTATTGCAAATACAAATTAGATATATGTTGTATTTTACTCTCCAAAATTCTTTGAAGAAAACAGCAATAAAGAGAAAAGAGAGAAATATGATTATTAAAAAAATCCGCCCTGGGGGGAATTACGCAGTCATTTCAAATTGGCTTCACCACTGAAGAGATAAAGCACATACGTGTAATCTAATTAAATCAATATTTGATGTGATTCGATCGTTCGATAATTTTATTATTTGCGCGATTCGCGTTCGCATTCGATGGCTGACGAGATTGGATGCCGCAACGGGGGGAATGTCCGCGAGACGCAAATTTGTCTCGCGGATAATGCCGGCTATTCCGGCGCCTTGCCTTCATAGGGCAGCTCTCGCTACCACATACTTGCAAATAAGAGAGCGGTACAAGTTCCCAAAACTACTTCCATAAGTATTATTTCCCTTCGGCTGCCGAACGGCTTCAAAACTTCTATCCGCTCGCGAAAGAAACAAGCGGGAGTTTAGACGACTCCTCGCGCGCGGGGAATAATGCAGTCGGAATGCATTTTCCATGGAGATCCCGGAGACGCGCGCGCGAGCAGTTTCTGCCGAGCTCTCCGTTTAATCCGCGCGCGCACTGGCTTTCCCGTCGAGAATTACACGACGCGAGCATCCGCTCCCGTGAAAATCGTATACAGCCCCGGTGCTCAAACATCTCGCGAACGAGATACCCTGCCGTCCAGTAGATGTTCGCTGTTTGAAAGTTGAAACGTTCGCAAAATGTTTCTTGAAAAGACCCGGCTTAGATACAACGCGGCTAACAACCCGAAGATCCGCGTTCGACTCGAGTCGTTTAGCTTCCGAATATTCTTCTCCTGCGCGTCAAGAGCTCGTAAACTTTCCTAATTCATTTTAACCCCTTCACTATACACAGAAATATATATACTATATTCAAGTAAATGTTGCTTGTTTTAGGTTTATGTAACTGTAAATTTGCCATAAGTTTATAATAAGCATAAAATTTGTTCGAAATTCGTTTTTGAATTCGAGTAGACTCGGTGTTTCAATAAAGAATATTAAATTAAAGCATACATTCGGTTTGTTTAGTCACGTAGAGTCGAACCAACTGTTTCTTCAATCAAATTTTGATATTCTTGTAAAGAAAACAAATTATTTTCTCGAGCATATTACAATGATTGTTTCTAAAATTTGACACATTTGAGTATATTTTAGGGCTTTGAAAAATATATTCTTCGTTCAAGATAACTATTACTTAAAAGAAGGAAAGTAAATTGAGTAATTGCTCTTCTCAGCACAATATTTTTTTTGTATGGCGATTAAAAAAAAAAACCGACTTAAGAAAAATTGAGTGACGAGAATTCTCCTGATCGGTAGTGAAGGGGTTAACTCTCAGCCGTGACATAAACATCATGAAACACCGTATAATGAGTTAGTATTGCGATGTAGAGAACATTAGGTAGCGAAAACAAACGTCGCGCGACTTTAGCACATGCGTTTAGAGCAAGTTCACTGAGAGAAAAGGAATGGGATTTATATAACAAAATTATAATTATTTTAATGCCCCAACCATATCTTTTGATTGCTCTAACACGGAAATACAGTAGTAGTAACGTGCGTATGAAAGATTGTTATTAACACATTATGGTAGAATTTTATAAATAAAATGTTTCCTAGACATAATTTATGGTAATTATTTCTCTGTGATTTATAGTTGCAAATATCAGCTATTTTTCTCAGTGTAAGTGACTCAACCGACATCACAACAGTCTTTGACGCGGAGATAATCATGTCGCGTGCTATTTCCAATTTTTTTAAGTTAATTTTAACGATCATGAAACTAATTACGATACGTTGCGCGCGTGTTAATTACATGAAGATTATTACTAGTAATTGCAGCATCTCGAAACCAAGAGGATAAATATCGTATTGCATTTTTATTGCTTCTAAAAAGCAATATATAGTTATATCTTTCGTGTTGGAACAATGTCTTCATCGTTATAATTAATTGGGGAAACTAGAACTCAAATTGCATTCATTTCCTATATTTTTGAGCTAAAACTGATCATCAGTTAAGCTTTCATACAATCAATAGTCAATAGAAATAGCGCGATAATTAATGTTTTAATTTGCTAATATTGAGCTATTGTGTATATGTATGTGTAACTCTTTATCGCCATGATTAATAAGGAAAATTGCTTTTCATTTCAAATCTAGAGCAGAAGCAGTCTTATCAGGGGAACGTAGTCTAGATGACGGTGGAATTTAAAGCGTATAACGGTGAATATGATATTAATATTATCGTATACGCTTATAGACGCGCGCGCGTGAAACCGCTTATAATATTATCGCGTACGTAAACATCATATTGTGAGCCGTTAAATTATGTGGATCCCCTAAACAATGGAAACAATGATGTAATGTAACGGCGCGCCGAGAGTCGCGCGATCTCTCGCGCGACCTTTGGAACAACACACGCGCAAGTGAGCGACTCGATCGCTATTATAACAGTTTTTGACGTCGAGCCGAACACGTCGCGTTGCGTGCTATTTCCAAATAGCCGAGCCGATTGAAACGATTGTGAGCCTAATTACGATACTTGGCGCGTGCTAGTTCATCGTGTTACTCGTAGTAATTGCAGCATCTCGAGATCGAACGGGTGAGTAACGTATTTCAGGATTCTGTTCGTCTGTCAGAAATCTTGTTAACTTGAACAGAATTCCAGCAATTTCAACCAGAATTCCTGGTTTGTTCGCGTTTCACTACAGAAATTTAATTAATACAACTAAACTTTTTCGTTCCGCGTATGAGACTTTATCGAAGAAAAAGTTTGCTCGACTCTATGTAGTAGGCAAAACAAATATTTGTGTTAATTTAATATTTTTGATCGAAATGCTAAACTTACTTTAGAATATACAGAAAAAAAGAATATTCTTGTTTGGAAGATATCTTTATTGTTGGCAAAAATAAGATTAATGTTAAAATGAGATTATATATGGTATTGAACAAAGATAAATTAATCTTTAATCAAGATGAATATAGTAAAATTAACACAATCATTTTTTTATAGAATATTATAATATTAATATTCTTAGTTATATATTATTAGTCTACAATTAAAACGAATATATTCAAATTAACACAATCATTTTCTCGTATATAATCAACAATATTGATGTTCTTGCTTATATATGAGAAAATGATTGTGTTAATTTGATTATATTCGTCTTGATTGAAAACTAATAATGTATAATCAACAAAATTAATATTGTAATATTTTATGAGAAAATGATTGTATTCATTGTACTATATTCGTCTTGATTGAAGACTAATTTATCTTCGTTCAAAGCTATATAATCTCATTTTAATATTAATTTTATTTAAAAAAAATGTCAACAATAAAGATATTTTCCAAACAAGAATATTCTTTTTCTTCTGTGTATCTCAGACAAATTTGATGTTTACGATGAGCTTATGATAGATTTGCAAATATATATTGAGAAAAAAGCAGTTGTGGATGGATAAAATCGATGATCATCCGGCTTCAAAGAAATATTGTGTCTATTGAACAAATTACACGTTAGTGTAACAATAAATTGCGTTGATATACTTTCTGACCAAATCGCAATCATTGAATCAATTGATAACTCTCTCGTTGCAGCAACTATATAACTTGTTCAATCGACCAAACGTTTGCTTGAACGAATTTTATTCGTTTAAGCAAAGTCTCATTAACTTAGTCAATTTTTTTCAGTATAGCTCTAAAAGAGAAATGTACTGTCGTGTCTTCGTATCCTCAATTTGTCGGCATCGAGCAACCTTTTCATCGTTATAATTAATTGTACAAACGATTTTTTTGCTTCAGATCTAATGCGGACTTGCGACCACACCACGGAAGTAGTTGTCGTTTGCCGGTGGGTGCAGATGCAGCATCAGAGGAACTGGTTCGGGTATAGCAGGATCGGCTCGAAGGTGAGTTTACACATTTTCTGTACTTTCCTTCTCAACCATTTACTGTCAAAAGCCGGAATACAGCTTCGCATTACGATAACTCGGATTACGATAGCAAAGAGCTAATTCACGCGTATACAGTAGTTAAACTGAAATCAACCGACGTAAACGTGTACGTTTCTTGTTGCAGATTTACGTGGAGCTGACGTAGCCGATCCTGACGAAGGTGAGTCATAATATATACAAAAGCGAGAACAAAGATTCAGATTAGTTTTATGGTGGCGGGTTTTTGTAGAATTTTGCTGGAATCAATGCGGCTTATTTTGCTGGTAGACTTTTATATATATGTGTATGTGACGTTCAATGAAATGAATTACTCGAAACAATTTGGAACTGTTCCAAGTGCCTATACAATTTTCCAAGTGTCAACAAATAGATATTTGAAATATTGAATATTTTTCTTCTCTTAACTCATTACGGACAGTATGTTCTGTTTACTATACTATACATCATAGAAAAAATAACAATTTCAATATTTTCAATTTATTTTTCGATCATAACATTTTACATATTAAACAACAATTGCGTTTCGACGTGTACTGAGAGAAAAATAGTTCATCTAATTAAAATTATAGTTATTTTTTATCTCAATCATATTTCAATTATATTTTTTTGTTGTTCTAACATGAAAAACAACAATACACGAAAAAAGAATAATCTTGTTTAGAGAAAATATCTTTATTATTATTTTAAAAATAAGATTAAGGTTAAAATGAGATTATATCATTTTCTTATAATCATTTTCTCATATATACAAGCAGAAATATTAAGTTATATACAAGCAGAAATATTTAGTTATATATGAACAAATAATTATGTTAATTTGATTATATTCGTTTTGAAAAATAGTTTCTTCGACCATAATTTGTAGTAGCTATTTCTCTATATTGTTATAGTTACAAATACTAAATATTTTTCTCAGTATGTGTTCTAAATAAACGGCTGCTGATGAGTATGTCGGGATGTTCCGTAAAGTGCAATTATTTTTTTAAATATATCTATATAAATATCTTTGCTATCTATTCTTACACATGATCCAGTCTGATTATTCAAAAGAAGTATTCACTTTTCACCTCCTAATTGTTTCGAGCAGTGTAAAATGCGCACTGGAATTGCGCCAACGCTCGCTGAACTAGCGAGTTCACGTCGCGAACTTTGTTCGCATTGGTTAGCTTCGCGATCGTTTTGTGCTTATCTTCGCGTTACGACTGCGTTCTTCAAAGCGAGTCTTACGTAATATTAAATTCGTGGAATTATTACGGAAGCGCACACGGCGAAAATATCGTGAAGTGATCTCTGCTGAAGTATATTGCGGAGTCACGGTGCGTGAGAAAATCATGCCATTGCCGAGTATTTCGATCGCGTTGACAGATTTTGCGATTTGCAGAATTTCAAATTTTCGACATTTTATGCTTCCGTGCTCGCGCGCGTTGCAACTACATCTCTCAAGGAAATTCTCTCGTGAAATTAAATTCGTGGAAAGCACATTAGGATAACATACTTCGCAAAAGTAACGCGAAGTAATCTCCGCTGAAGCGTCGTGGAGGCATTGTACGTGAGAAAATCGCGTCGATCTCGAATATTTCGATCTGCGTTGATAGATCCGTGCGCTTCCGACATTTTCGACATTTTACGCTTGCTTTCGCGTCGCGACCTCGTTTTTCAGAGACTCTTTCGTGAAATTAAATTCACGAGTTTTTAGGAAGGCGCACTTCGCACAAGTATTGCGAAGTAATCTCCGTTGAGGTATCTGGGAATTGTGTGTAAGAAAATCACGCCATTTTAAAGTACTTTGATCACGTGCTTCGTTGATTAATTCCATGATCGTCGTGATTCTCGAATTTTCGACGTTTTATGCTTTCTTTCGCGTCGCGACTCCGTCCTTCAGACTCTTTCGTGAAATTAAATTCGCGGGATTTTTAGAAAGGCGCACTTCGCACAGGTATTGCGAAGTAATCTCCGTTGAATTGTCACGGAGCCATTGTGCGTGAAAAAGTCACGCTATTCTGGCCATTGTGCGTGAAATTCACGCCATTTTGACCATTGGGAGTGAAAAAGTCGCCATTCTCGTGATTAGGTGTAAAAGAGTCACGCCATTCTGACCATTTTGCGTGAAAAAGTCACGCCATTCTGGAGTACATCAATCGCGTATCGCGTTGACTGATTTCGCGATCCGCGATTTCACAGCCCGCGATTTTTCTGCACGCGATTCGCGAGTCCCGAATCTGTTGTGCATCAAGTTCAAGTCGGATAAAGTGTGCAAATTGTTCCTGGGGCGAAAATATCGACTCGCGTCTATGGTCGATTCGTAAAATAAATTCGCAAATTCCGATTCCGTCTTTCGTTTGATCGAACTCGTAGATTTCGTTCCCGGATAAGTTCACGCTTCCTATTCGCGCCGTCGAAACGCTCGTTAAACGCCGTTAAAGCGTAAATATCTGTCGCGTCGTGAGTGTAGTCGAGTGCAATCAACGTGGGACGATGCAGGACGGAGACTGGAAGCTACCAAGTCCGGGATGCTGCGGGTGGAGCTGGCTGGACGTCGATGGATCTCATCCTGAAATGGTGAGTGTGAACACGAACGCTCAAACAGCGTCACTTTTACGTAGTGCATGCGTAGACATAAACCGCATTGATCTTCCAGCGATAAAAGTAAGAGAGTAGCTTGTTAGTCTCGAATTTAAAAATGTCCGAATCATATATTGATGTGACAATTCAATACCTATGAAATGTGATTATTATGCAACTGATATTGTGACTAATTACTGCGATTATTATATGCAATTATTCAAGCACAGTACTGTGCGAATTATCCGAGCCATATTAAAAGTTAATCTGCACAAATTTTCATTCGCGTGAACATTGAATTATGTGTCACTTTTGAGGTAAAAGCACCGATGCTTGGATATTAATAACGCCGATATCTAACTCTGAACTCTTATCGCTTTGGTTTTTCAATACGAATATTTAGACTTTTAACGTAGAATATATGTATATATTCAATATATGCATATATATTCTCTATATATTGAAGATTTAAATATTCGTAGTTAAAGATCCAAAGGCAATAAAAGTGTTCAGAGTTAGCTACCCGTTTTACGCGATGAGAATTTTCTAGTAAAAATTATTGTAGGATTTTGTAACCGAGAAATGGATCGACATTCTGCAATAATTTATAGCAGATGTGCCACTTATATTTTAGAAACTGAAATATCCTATTAAAATACTTATATTTTTAGCGAAATCTGCTATATTTCTAACGAAATTTATTATGTTCATTAGCAAAATGGACTTTATTGACAATCTATTTCTGGACCAATAAAACAATAACATTGAAAAGAATTTATATGAAAAAAAAAGAAACTATAATATTCTCTCCGTATAATATCCAGGCGTTGGTGCTTTTACCTTACGTGACAAAACAGTGAGACTCGCGTGTGCATTTTGCACGAGATCCCGTCGTGTTAACAATCAGCAGTATTTAGCAAGAAACCCATTACCTGTACCTTTTGCATTCCGAGCTTTAGGCATTCCTGTTTTCAATCTGTCGCGTTGATTCCCTGATCGACGCGAGAAAATTCCGCGGCGTTTTGTTCGGTGATTTTCTCGCGATTGAACGTTACAGGGACAGCTGTTTCTCGCGTGAGCGATGAAAATATTATCGGGAGTCGCGGGACATTATTCATTCGGTCGGCGAGGAAAATTTCATTCGCGCAACGAGGAGACCGTTATTGGCGGTCGCAAATGTTTCCATGGCGCGTATAGTCCGGATAAAAACTGTCGGGTTGATAGGGAAAAAAAAGGAAAAAAGAGAGAAATTCTCTGTTAAAAATTACTGCTTCGTGCGGGATTTTTATGTATTTTTTTTTCCGCGCGTTTTGTTAATAATACGCTGTGTGGAAAATTCGTCGATGATGCGCACGCACGCACGCGGGCGCGCGATGTCAACAACAGATTTCGCGAAATCGGCGTGACATTCGGTATTACGTTGCACGCGTGCGGCGAAACGTTCTGTGCGGCCGTTATTTAGAACGCTCGATGCGCCGGCCGAGCGAAATCTGGGAATTTCAAATGGCTGAAAGGAGATCGAAACAGTCGGAAATGCGCAGAGGCCGCAGGGCGTTTTAATTCCACTGTCTGGGGGCCAACTTTTGCGCGGATATACACTCGTCGCGCTTTTATTCCAGACTCTTTTTGCCGCATGTGTTTTTGACAAGAAAGAGGGAAAGCGAAGAGAGAGAGAGAGAGTGAGAGAGGGGGGGGCGGGGGAGAGAAAAGAGAGAGAGAAAACAAGACGATGAAAGATGCTTTCTCGGCGATGCATTCAGCAGTCGATATAGTTTTGCGGTTGCTTTTGCGATTTCACCTGACGCCACATCCCGTAGGCGGCAGCCGGTTATCCCGTAAATACCTGTCAGTCATAAGAGCGGGCAGGATGGAATTGAAAACCGTCGCCCTTCGCGACGTAGCAACGCCGTTCGTTCAGCGCGGCTCGCGGTTGAAGAACGTGTCTGTGGCGTGCGAACTATGCAGATATGACGAGTCGCGGGCATATTGAGCATGGTGGAAAAATACGTTAAATCTGAACACGCGTTCAAACACGATACGCACGGCAAGCTTTTGTTCCGCGCGAAAAATATGCCGGATTGACAGCTGTTCGTGCGTTCAAACAGAGGCGACTGGACGCGTGGTCATTATTGAGACGCGATTAGCCGCTGAGTAACTCTGTTCCGGAGTTGGAGGCAAAAGTTAGTCCGGGCGATCCGCAGCGCTGAATCATTGAGCTTACCTCCGCGGTCATTGTAGCTCCAGTTAACGAGATGTAATTACTCCTTGATTCTAAATTAATCCGCGGATGATCCCGGCTGCCGAGGATATCGCCGTATTATCGGAAGTGTCTGTCTCCCTCACCCTTTCTTAGTAATCAATAACTTAATTGGCATCCAAGCGCAGGGAAGGCCGGCGGAAGTGATATTATCTTTTTATTTGCACTGAGAGAAAGAATATCTAAGGGAAAAAAGTATTTATATTCGGTGGGTATTAATAACATATTTTTGTTTACACACTAATGTACGTATTTTTATATTGAGAGAAAATATTTGTCAAATAAGCAAATCTGTATTCTCTTCAAACTTTAGCTTTCTGCAATAATAATTGTTTAAAGTG